TTAGCTTGTCCGGACGCCCCACTCTTCTTCACTTTTCTGGTCTCATTCTCGTCCAGCCCCCTTTTTAACGGTTTTTCGAAACCTTTTTCACTTTGGAAACACCGATGCACGCAGTTTCTTCACCTCAATTGCACTAGTTTCGATCTTGTCTTCCATTTTTCATTGTGGTCTGGATTACCCACAATTATCGTGAACTGTGCCTTTAAGAATTCACAACCATTTCACTAGGACGTGGACCTGTTGCAAATACGGCGCACCACCACTAAAAATAGTTTTGATGACCGGTGTTCTCAGGTAAGGTTGGAAAAGACAATTTTCGGAAGGCTCATCGAAGGGTAGCTAGAACTTCCTGTGGTTCGGCTCACCCACAACAAATCATTTCATGTTACCAGACAGGTCAAGAACGCCTTCCGTACGTCCATATAGCTCGATTTTCCAGCATAAAGCATTTTACAGACTTACGTCAAAATTACCCTTATGCTCCCCTATCTGCTGTGGGCTTCCATGATGTTTGTTAAAAGTAATTTTCCAGAACCTCTTCGTACTAAGCAGTAAGCTTCCATTTACTCGATGTCGGCACGACCAGAGTGAAAAAAAACTTGAACCTACCAATACTTTCAATATCGGCACGACTGGGTCGAGTGATGGCGTTCATAATTCGTTCTATCTGATTAATCGTAGACGTTCCCGGGAAAAGAGCACGCCCTGGAAACAGAACTCCTACAGGATTCATGGTAGAAAGGGATAAGCAAGGAAGCACCAAAAAACAATATTTTAAAAATAGGATAAAAATAGAGTGAGGTCCCCTTTGATATGACTTCTATCGAAAGTTTGATGTATAGGGCATACACTGTATTTCAGCGAGTCATTAACCTGAGAAGCTGCGTTTATACTTAGCAAAATTGCATCCGACACTGGCTGGCCTGCTGGCAGCGAAGCGATGCAAATTTGGCTGCAGCTTTAAGTTGTAGCTTATTTGAAGCTACGATGAGAAGGATACGATTGGTAGTAACATCGCTAAGGCTATTTGGCAAGCAGCATCTGCGCTTGGGGCAAGGCCGGTTTTAATCAATACGTATTTTCTGAACGGGATTTTTACTTAAAACTCGACCAAATGCAAGGTAGCCCCAAGCATCGTAGTTATGTATTTCAAGTGCTATTAAAGGTCTAGTAAGGGTACATTAAGTACCGATGCAGTGGTAGGTCTACTGAGCTCCTAGGCTCCAGTAGCTCATGTTAGGGACGATCAGGTTTCTGGTTACGGTGGTGGAATCCTCATGTCCCCTCTGATTCCGTGAGAATAGCAGAGGTACATAAATATGGTGAATCAGAAAAAATAAATCCTAGAACAGGACATAACGCTCCAAATTACGGATAGAAACCTACCTAGTAACATTTCGGCCAAAATACATCCAAGGCTCCACATATCAACACCTTTTGTGTATCGTTTGGCAGCTAGCAGAATCTCCGGACTACGATACCACCTCGTAGCCACGTACTCAGTCAATTCCGGCATATTTTGACCTTCTGGGTAGTCCTCCAGCTGAAACTGATTGTATTATAGCTCGTTTACAGATTTTGTCGTCCCCTGTGAAATGCGCAAACTCCGCCCCCCCCCCCCCCCCCCCCCACTTATGAACTCCTCCCACTGGGAACGCGGACATGGCTAGCATAGACGATGACGATTCATTTGAACTTTTCAGGTCTAGAGGGGTTAAGTCGAATGTTAAGCGAGAAATTATGGACTTCATCAGTCTTACTGATCGGAAACTCATAACAGACTGATTGATTGGGACTTTCAAATTGATCAGTCTGCTGATATCTTCCGATCATTACCCCATTACAATGGGTCGTCTTTCGCTTCCCTTCATTGACCACCCTACTGGGTACAGCCTACTCGTTTTAACACTCTAATGGACTCACCGACGAAAGGGATCGAGCTAATCCGAAATCGGCGAGTTTCACACGACAATCAGCATCCAGCAGCACATTTGATGGCTTCAGATCTCTGCAATCATGAATTACAGTTGAAAACGCACGACAATTAGCGATTGAAAGGCAGTGGGTACGACAGACTACGGTAATGGTGAAAGAATGATGAGTTGAAAAAAACGGTGAAGGAAAACTGAGTTATGGCTTCCGGTTCGCGGTTATCACCTTCTTAAGTTTCACTATAGTAGACAGGAGGTACATCTTCAACCCGCTCCCAAACGAACCAGCAGGTTAGGGTATTCTTGTTCGATAACCTCTTATGATACCCACTTTTATGTCCCACGTACAACCAAAGCACCCTTCCCACGGTCCCAAGCAAGGGAGAAAATCATTCTTTTTCATCCATTTTTTTGGTCGCTCACCAGTTTGGGAGAAAATGAAGGTTTCCTGAAGTCAACCAAACCTCCCCATCCTTAAAGATGGCTGAATCGACTTCGAGGGAAAGAAAACTTGGTTGGCTGGGGATATAAACACCGACATGGACATTGGCTGGCCCCCACAACCCGTAGTACATATATTGCCCTATACCCATCCAAACACTAACACGATTCCGTACTGAGGTGGAATGAGTGGCGCACCCCGGATCTCGAATATTTAGTGGAGAAAAAAACCTATCCTTAACCATTTTGTCGTCAAGGCACAATCATGCCTGCTGAGCCGCGATCTTATGCTTAATACCACCATCGCTCTTTGTTTGGCATCCATTTCGCTTTTCCCCCTGAACTCCGCCTTTTGCATATTCGACTCTGTTCGCAGCCATGCATTTCTTTTTGAATGACGTCGATCTGAGAGATTTCCTGTGTGTTATTAGGGTTAGACTGGCTGAGTTGCAGGACGGCGATTTCGTGGTTGGAAAGACGTAATCGTTTCCGTTGTCGTTATCGACGAGATGGCGGTAACAAAGATGTGAACGGCATAGGCAGGAGGTGACGAACACGCTTCAGTGCATATCATTTCCATTGGTAGCCACAAAAAACATTTGGTTGAGAGCTCGAGAAAGAAGCCTACAGTGGCGATCGATATTCAGGGAATCAGGGAGGTACTGTACTTCTATTTGCCCTGGACTGTGTAACGATTGAGTTGAGCTCGGAGGTCGTATAGGGTGTCGAAGTGTTTGATCGGATAACTTCACCAGCCGCTTCTACCCTTTCAGATTCGGAGAGAGCAAATCCGCGATGTGCCGAGACGTTAGGAACTTGATGCTGAGGGTCATCGAAAGTCAGACGAGAGGAACGACAATCTTTTTTTTCATGGGTACGTACAAAACAAAGTGGTCCCTCAGCAGTACCACGTTCTTCCAAATTCTGGACACAGTTTGATCCCCTCAGAAAACGAGGAACTCCTTGACTACGCAGCCGTAGCCAATCCATTTATGGGAAAGCAAATTTTGATTAACCTTAATGGACTTGCCCTTGGAAATCCTTGAAGGGCTAATCGCCCAGTTTCTTCAATACCCATCTACATGATTAAATAAAGGGTCCATCGTTAAAGACCACAGGAACTAGGTACCTCGAGAACAAGTCAGATTCTTCGACATAAGCTTCTTAGTAATCCAAAGACTCGAGGAATGCCCCCCAAAAAACTGCCCTAAAAAAACTCGGGCTCAAATGGTATCCATGGAGATATTGCTGAAGGCGATAATACTATGAGAGGGAATAGCCATTCATGCTCGGCGAGCTCATAAAATTTGATGACTTGGTTTTACGCCCTGTTAGATTAGATTGAGGGTGGCTTCAGAAGAACTTAGCAAAAACTAGTAAAATAGAGGTAGATGTTTGGGACCGATTAATTTCGCTCGCGATGCGCCCCGCATTCAATATTCCGTCGAATCGTCAAGGCTCTAGGTGTGTATATGGCCTGTGCAGTGACTTGTGGTGGCCCAATGATCTACAAATTAAATCTTTTATCCTCCCCGATAATAATTAACACCACCCGAAGATCGGAAGGCTTGGATAGCCAGGGCGAGTATTGATCAAGGATCCAATCTCCAGACCATGTGCGTGGCATATGAGTGTCTCTCCCTTTTTCCAGTAAAGCAGGTTTGAAAATAAGTCAAAAGGCACTTGAACTAGGCCCCTATATGCGATGTCTTCTGAATTTCCTGGGTGGGTGGGAGCTTTCCTCCTTGACAGCAACTGGGAAAGTTTGGTGGAAAGGATTACGGGCACTGGCGCGCGGGTTTGCTACTAAACGCCTAGTTCCTAGTTGGAATATCTCTCATACCACACAAAAAAAANAAAAAAAAGACACCGTTCAGTTTTCAACAAATGGAAAAGGAATATTCAAGCAAACGTAGTGCGATGGCGTATTCCAATAGGGATTCACCAACGCCAATTGGAACATCATCTACCCGGGTAGATGCACTTGGCGTTGGTGAGTTATCACTGGAACACGTCGTGCAGGGCAGCGATGGAGCTGTTATTCTCAACAAATCCCTGAGCAGCTCAAAATGGAGCGCAGCCATCTGAAAGTGAGCTCTGATGATCTACCTCATGCTCCAAACAAAACGATCCCTCCCAAATGTGATGGAGCCGCAAATTTGGCCGAAGACGAGAAATCTGGAACCGCTAAACCTTCAGACACCGGTGTCCAACTTAGAATATCCCATTTTACAGCGTCCCTTCTCTAACCTTTGCCCAGGTAATAATGTGCAGTGATAGCTCCAGATAAATGGTAATGTGTGATCCCCGTCGAAACTAATCTACAGAACATTCTGTCTGAAAATTGCTAATAACTCTTATCGTTTCCGGAATCTTATTAAAGTTTCGATGCTGTGGGCGTAGGGGAGTGTGTTCCCACGGATGATGTGGGAAAATTTAAATCGCATGCAGCGTTTTTAGAACTGGAAACTTTTCGAATTTATGAAATTCTGTGGGAATTGCGCAGGATTTTCGCTGGTAAGTTTGATTACCGTATTCCGTAGAGATATAGTGAGTCAATCAGAACGTCAGCCTTCATTTTCATCCAGACCAAATTCCATGACAAGTCCAGAAGTTTAACGACTGTCATGAAGGGAGGTAATGACGTCGTTAGTTGTTCCGGTGGTTTTAGTGGCGAAGTGCTCTTTTCAGAAGAAATCAAATTCACAAGCCATTTTCGCTTACCTATGCAGTACATTTCCGCTATGCAAAAAACGAATAGCACGGAATAACTGGCACATTATGTACTGTTTATGGACGTCTTTTAGAATGGTCATCTTTTTTATGACATTGTGTAAATCGGCCTCCATATATTCGAATACCAAATAGATGTCTCTGAAAAAGAAACGATTCAACTCCACATAGTAGGATTTCATGAGTATGGGCACAGTCACCCAATTCTGGATGGACGTGGCAAACTGCGCGGCGAAACTCGTGGGGATCG